ACTGGGACGGATAGATGAATTTACAACAATAAAATAAGTGGGTCACACGCGGTGGTTGATTTTCACATTGTGTTGCCACACAAGAGAATTTACCCTACAGGCTGGATTGAATTTCTATCTCATCAACTTCGACGGGATCCGAGATCGGGTTGTGTGAGTCAAGTGACAATGGTGCCACTCAGTTACAACAATGTTTTTCGGTAATTTTAAGGGAAAATGTGGCATTCAAGAAAAGTCAAGCCCCCCAAATCCATCTATGTTGAGGGATTGATGTCGTATTTACTGTCACTTATATTCAAAGTGAGTAGTGAGTGAGTAGTTGAAGTTCGTACTCAAAATCTTATTATTGAACATGCATATGGGACTGTCGTCGATTCTCAGTGAAAGTGCATTTTTGCTTTATCGACACCCCTTCCGGTATAAATTTAGTTTTGAATTGCGCTGGGGTGTTGATGGGAACCAAGCGAGGTAGAAACTATAAGCCAGCCTAGATAGGAAGGCCTTTTGAGAGGCAAGTTTGGTTAAATATAATGTTTTATGATGCCTAATACAAATTTATTTGAGAGATCTTCAATCAAAACACCTTAAGCGAGAGAAATGACTAAAGTTATCATTCACCAATTATGTCATCCTGACTAGTTTAATCCAGACTCCGAAATGTACAATGCTTCAAAACCGTATTCAATCATGTTTTGGGCAATAATCAACTATGGTAACATTATGGCTTATCAAAGATACAGCTTACTGAAGCCATGTACTTGGAAACTAACCGCTATTTATCAACTCAAATAAATACATATTAATTAGAAATTGAAGCTCTTTCACTAGTTGTGGAGAGACGATATTATAAATGAATAGTTTTTTTGTTATTTGGTATCCCCACTGCCCAGTCGGTCGAGTGTGAGGTTACCGATTTGACATTTGCAAGAATCAGAGTTCAGCTAACATGCTTATTATATGCTTTTATCTTTGAATATCCATTTATTTAGTAGCAGAGATCAACTACGATGTTGTCATTAAAACCGGTGATAAGATGAATGCTGGTACAGATGCCAATGTATTTATTCGACTATTCGGAACAAAGGCTGACTCTGGCCCTATTCAGATGAAAAACTCCGACTCAGCTGAGAACAAGTTTGAGACCGGACGCTCAGATATATTTCATATCACCGCTTCTGACATAGGAAAGGTGAGTCCATTGGTTGAAAATGCCATATTTTTTCATACCTTCGAGAAAAACGTCTATGAGTTTATCGCTTTTCTTAGTAGTCTCTCGGATGTAGTCCTCTCTTATCACTTCTACTGGAGTTTCGTCTAAATTTTTTAATCTATTTGAGGCCACAGCTACTTTATCATATCTAATCTCTGATGAGTTTTCTTTTATTATATGTGTTGAGGTTACTTACATTTCGAGTAAAAGTGTTTGGTGAAGAGATCCGAAGGTCGGTTCCACCAGAAGACGACGGCGGATTCCTCTTGACCAGCTGTCGAATGGCTTTACTGGACGATTCATGTTGACGCTGTTTCCGAAGTAACCTCCTTCGATTCTGGTGAAAAGGTGCTAAGCTTTCGTTCGTCATTTGACGAACATCATCAGAGCAAGGTATTATCGTCACAACAAAATTCAAGCAAACGAGTCAAGAAAGCTCACCCGAAAATCCCTAAAAAGTGGTACATCTGGCCCCTTTGATCAAGTATAAAGTGATTTGGTTAGTTAGGCTGAGATTTCAACCTCGAAGCCTGTGAGTGTGTCTGTCTTTGTATGCGTATGTGCCTAGTTGTGCTCGTTTATGCATAAAACCAGCAGTCATGGCTCAAATTAATTAGGACAGCAAAAGTAACGTATTTTCTCGGCCATCAAGAATTGATGACCACTATCTTCCTCTTTTCACAGACATGTTATAATAATCACTCTGATTGCGCACGGTCGGACACTCGTCTGGTGTGGTTGATGAGCCTATTTTTTCTTCTTGGTCTTAATGCGAGAGAGAAAGAGTGAGCTCAAAGTACAGCGAAGTGACTTTGATTAAACTTGTTACTTGAATTTGATTGTGACGATGATACCTTCTTCTTATGACGTTTCTCATTTGACGGACGAAAGCTAAGCACCTTTTCACCGGAATCGAAGGAGATTGCCTCGGAATCAGCTTCAGCGTGAATCTTCCAGTAAAGCCAATCGACAGCTGGTCAAGACGAATCCGCAGTCGTCTTTTGGTGGAACCGACCTTCGAATCTCTTGACCTAACACTTTCACTCGAAATAGAAGTAAGCTGAACAATTATGATTCCTCGAAACGCAACTTTTCTTTTATTATTTGGCCATTTCACTTTGAAGCCAAAGTAAATTCAGCATGGGAACGTAGAACAAAAGAAGATACAAATATTTTAAAATTAGGAAAACATTGGACAATTGATGTCTTAGGCTTAGATAGTTTTGATCTCATTATCGTTGTGATAGAGTCAAGTGTGGTGGCATCCAAATGATTGTCTACTTGCTTCCTTTCAATTCTGTCGTAGATGCCA